GCCCGCCCCCTCGGCCCGCCTCCCGGGGCCAGGCTTCGCCTCGGCTGGCCTCAGGCGCGGGGAAGTGGCCCTGGCGGCCAGCGCGCGTCCCGCGATTCCCGGGCCAGCGTTCCAAGTGGAGCCGGGGTCCCGAGCGGCGCCCACGTTCCTATGGGGTGGCTCGCGAAAGGAGGGAGTGCTTGGCCGGCCAGCTCCTCTGGAAAAGGAGTCCTGGGTTTGTCCATGCCTGCAGGACCTGGAGATAATGCTTAGGCCATGTCCATCCCGTGCCTAGGTTTACCAAGGCCCAAAGAGAAGAGTAAAGACTGATCCTCTTGTTGCATAGTGTGAACTGGTGAAATCTAGCTTGAACTGAAGTCTCCAGGAGGGCAAAGAAATCTATCCTTCATTTAAAAAACAGAACAGATCACTAAGGCTGTCCCGCCTTGCACTTGGTGGCCCTCATCCCGGATTCTACTGCTCTCCTGTCTCCTCTCTCCAGACATCCCGAGGATGCCAACGACTGGGTTTTGGGACTCGGATCGCTCATGCCTCCACTATTATCTCATTTCCGCTCCTGCTCAGCACTGGGCTCTGAGGAACGGAATCCTGCCTCAGGCCTTAGGTCTAGATGTTCATTCCTCCCTCTGCCCCAGCTGGCACATCCAACTTAACGCTCTGCAGCTGGTTCATGCTGAGTCTTCTCCAAGCTCAATTTTCTATGGTGTCCCCATCTCTTTGAAATCCCATATCCCTGGTTGAGACTTGTGCTCTCTCACTTCACTTCTAAGGCTTTCTCTTAAGATATTCTCTTCATCATCCTTTTCAGGTCCCTCACGGGTCTCCCTGATGAACTCTCTGCTTTTAATTCCCTCTGCTAGCATTCTCATTCCACACTGGAGTGAATGATTTCTGCCAGTTCGGCCTCTCTTCTGCCATTGCAGGACTAAGCCAGCCTCACCACCTTCTTTAGCTTGGGGGGAAAAGACTGGACTAGAAGCCTTCAGGAGTGCTAGGACGCCTGTGTTCTCCCCGTCCCCACTCTTGCCAGATTATAGGATCGGCCATGTTGATGCGTAAAGGAGTCTATGGAATTCTAGCATAAGTGACAGCATTTAATTTCTGTAGTTTAGCAAATGTGCATGATCTGCTCTGATGTTAGTGTGCTAGGCTTGTTAAAACAACCTACCTCGTGCTGTGTTCAATAATACAAATATATTTTTTCAGAATAGGTTGGTTGGCCTCCCCTGAGGTCGCTCTTGGATTGCAGATGGCTCATTTTGCCTGTGTCTCCCCACTGTCCTCCCTTGGATATTTTCTCCTCCTCCTCCTCCTCCTCCTCCTCCTCCTCTGCATCATAGTGGTTAGAGACAACTATAATTGTATGATTTAAATTTAGTTGCTTTGAGAAAGACCCAGTGACCAAGTATAGTCATATACTGACAAACTAGAGCTTAGGAATTCAACGTATGAATTTGGGGGTACACACAATTCAGTCATAATGAGCCCTATAATACTTTTCTAGAATTTCAGTGATGCTCCAGTCTTTGTCTGTGTTTATACCACACTAATTCATTATCAGCACCATAGAGGCAGACAACTGCAGGACCTGGGGGAAAGTTACTTCACGTGTGCCTCTGAAAATAGAAATAATGGTAACCCCTGCCTCGTAGGTTTGTAGTGACCAGGTGAATTGATACATGTGTCTGAGACCATCCCTACATGTGTCTGAGACCATCCCTTTCGGCTGCTGTAACAAAATTACCATTACCCCATGGCTTAGAAACATTTACTTCTCACAGTTCCAGAAGAGAAGGTTTCAATGCATGGTGCTGGCTGAGTTGGTATGTGTGGAAGTCCTTTCTGAGTCATAAGGCACCTCTTAGATGTATCTTCATGTGGTGAAAGGGACACAAAGCCTGTGTTGGGATTTGGATCTTAAATGTCCTTCAAGGTTTGTCTGTTAAAGGTTCAGTCACCAGATCATGATCCTGTTGGAAAGTGGTGAACTCTGTGAGGTGGGAGCCAGTGACATTAGGTCATCAGGGACATACTCCTTCTTGAAGGGCATGTGGACCCAGGTCTTTCCTTCCATCTCTCCTCCTGTCATTTCCTCTCCTACCCTATCTTCTGGTCACAAGTAGCATTGTTCCACCATTGTGTGTGTGTGTGTGTGTGTGTGTGTGTGTGTGTGTGTGTGTGTGTAAAACCTACAATGGTATTCTCACTCAGAAGTCTAAATGAACAGAGCTAATAAACCATGAAATGAACCTTCTGGAACCATAACCCAAGCAATCTTTTCACTCTTCTGACTTATCTCAGGCATTTTGTCACAGCCACGGAAAATTAATCCACACAAACTCCGTTGGCCTCATAAGACATCCGTCTCCATGACTCCCTATAAAGATTCTCACCTCCTTCTATCATCCCTGTGACACTTCAGGATTTCAGCCTATGAATTTGGGAAGCATCAACACTCAGATTACATCAGTAAGGCATATGGAACATTGCTGTATGCATAGTAATGCTGTGTACTGTTAAAGCTGTGTTTGCTCTTACGTCTTAATTATAATATTTATTTTTGACCCACTATAACTGCTTGTTGCTCATCTTTGCGCCAGCTAGACTGTGTATTTGTTGAGAACGGGATCCATGGCAAACTCAAGATGGTAAAGCAAATACTTCCTGAGAGTCCATTGTGCATGAGACACACCGCTAGGAGCAGGAGACGATCTCTGAGAAACCTAGTCCTCATGGGGAAGAGGTTGTGAGTTGAGCAAATGCTGAAGCTTCGGAATCTCTAGTCACAGAGCTGGAGCTTTGGTTAAGGCTGGGGTCTCCTGACCCTTCAGAAGGGTTTTGCTGTTTGCTTGCCTTTGGGATGTTTTTCCCACCAGAAGACAGCAGGTCACTGCTGAGGTGTGCTTTTCTCGTCTGTCCTCAGCATTTCTTGCAAGTACATGTGAAGTCCGTTGGTTTGAGCAGGAGCGCATGGGTAGAAAGGTGACTTAGTCAAGGAATATAGAGAAACCAAGCCTTTCAATTACTTTATATTTATCTTGAATGTCACATTCTGTGTTTTTACCTATATAATAAATATATGACTTTAGTTAGGATGAAATAGGCAGATCCTTCACGGAGTTATCATCTCACTGGAGAGATCTTCATCTTGAGTCTAAACAACATCCACAGGCGGACTTATTTAGTATCTAGTTAAAAGTGGAAGTTTCCAAGTCAAGAGGGGATTCATGAGAGAGACTCCCTGGGCTGAAGTGTGTAGGAAAAGCAGTAGGACCACAGGATAGAAGGTCTCAGATGTGATTCTGATAAACAAATCACAAAGTCAATAAACATAGTAATAAGTCTTCGTGTTTTTACAGTGTCAATACTTAAAGTGTGAGACATTCTTACTAAAATGACATCCTCACCATCAAAAGTAATTCAGATTGGTTGAAAATGTATCTAAACAAGTAACTTAGAGTTGGGTGTGTGTTTACCTCAATTTTACTTACAAGAAAAGTAATTCTAAGAGACTCTCTGCAGTTTTAATGCACAATAACTCAAGTAGCACTTGGTCCCTTTTGTACTGAATCTGACTTAACTTTAGTCTTAGCTTTCAAGAGCCCAGGACCCCTCAGTGAACATGTTCCCTGCTCTTCATTCTTGTCTGTTTGCTAATGATCCCTTTCTGGTTTTACTTTAATGTGTTTATCTTTTACAGAGCAACTGGCCTTTGCTCAAGCAAGGCCTGAGGCTGTCAGTCTCTCTCCCTGTGGATGGAATGACTTCCTTTAAATAGTCAAACACCTACTTCTCATAGATTTTTCCCTTATTTAAAGTGGGAGTCACAGAATTATATTTTTCTTCACCTGGCTACCCCAATCCTATTGTATTATGGATTTCAGTAATCTAATACTGTGGGGAATGGATGTTGTTTGGTTTCTTTTCATCGTTGTGGTAGACTTTTCTGGGGACACACTGTACAGATTCCACATTTAGTCTGAGTACTGCTGTAGACATCAGAGAAACTTGTAAACAGCAGCCTTAGGAAGAGTCCAGTTAAATTTAACACACAGCAGTGTCCATCCATGCAATGCCAGCACTGTTAATTTTGGAGGTTTGTTTACTGGTTCACTTTAATTTTCCAGTGAAAACTAGTGAGACAGAAACAAGCAAAGTACCCGTTGGTCTGGACGTCTCCACCTTCAATAGGAAGTCCAAAAGGAGTTCCTGGCATGTGTGGTGTTGCTTAGCAACTCACCAAACAGACATTGTTTTCCCTCATTTTCCCCCAAGGACTTATTTATTTAATAATACTCTAAGATAAATTTTTATCACTCAGCATCTGAAATCATTAGCAGAAAATCTGACATCTGGGCCATTATAAGAAGAAATGCTAACTTTTTTGTAAACTTCAGTTCATGTCTCATTTCATTTCTCATAAGGCAGGGCACAGATTTGTGGCATTCTTAGGTCTGGTTTGGGTTTAGCTTGCTTGGCCTGCCTATGTCTGCAAGGGGTGAACTTGGCATCATCATCAGCTGGCACTGTGGTGGTAGTGACCTAACCCTCTCTCTTAGTTTCCTATTCAGAATAATGAAGTTTAATATCTATCTCCAGATCTTCTTTGGAATTCAGATTGAATGCCAATGAAGGCATATTAACAAATTCACCAAACTTTTAGTGAATGCTCACAAGGCATCAGGTGCCATATTGGACTTTAGGGAAACAAAAATAAGGCATAAGTTCTGTTTTCAAGGGAAGCAAATTGTGTAAAGAGACCACCTGCACACACCTTCAAATAGCTCTCGTCCCCTCTTTTCATACTTCACAGAAACTTGTGGGCCTTTCTAGACTCAGACACTCAGTTACCAACTTCTGGCACCTTCCTTAGCTGCAACCCTGGTCTCCATTGACTTGCTGGTCTT